AAAAAAAAAAAAAAACAATTGATACAGAGGCTAAATTTTTTAATGTTTGTTTCTAGGCACCGTACAATCTTCGAATCACTTTGCAGACAGAGATCCTAGATGCAACAAGCCATGCTGCAGAACTAGTGAGGAGCTTGGGGAAAGACATAAGCAACATGAAGAGAAGCCTCAAGACCTACCTGCTAGAGAGGGTTCACAGCTCAACAGAAAGACTTCAGCATGCCATAGACATACATTCCTATCAGCTTACCACCTATTCTGACCCACTCAACAACTCCAATCCAGTTGAGCTTTCTCAGACACTCTCAAAGCCCAATGACCTTGCAGATTTGGACGGCAATGGTGTTGAAAAGAATCTGAATATACAAACAAGGAATCTCCCACTAGCACAGGGAGAGTCATGTCATGAGAAGATGAAGAAGCAGGTGAGGAGGCTGCATTCTTGGCCTTTCAGAGAGGTGGATGCTTTTGAAGGAGAGGAAGGAATTGGTGTGGAGTTTTTGCCTAGGATGAGGGCACTTGACAGCAGTGCAGCATTATCGCTGGCTACCTTTACTTCACTGCTGATTGAGTTTGTCGCTAGGCTTGATCGCTTGGTTGAAGCAGTTGATGAGCTCGCAATAATGGCGAGGTTCAAGCGTGAGGGACTACAGGAGGGGAGTCTGCAACATAAAGAACTTAATATTGCAAGATCGTAGGTTATGTCCTCAGAAAGAGAAAGGACAACGTAAGTAAAGAGGGAATCTGAAAAATGTTGCAAGAGAACAAAATGAATTTCTGATTTACTTTTCTCTACCACCGTGCACCATCATCCTTTCTCCTTTAGAGTAATGATAAATTCACCAAAATGGATATGGTTTTCTTTCTGTCTTTTGTACATGGTATGTAGTGAAACTACTGAGGTTGCAAAGATTAAGTTTAATTTAGCAGTATATAATTCCTGTGGACCTCAAACCATCTTAAGCAGGCTTCATTAGCCCTCTATTCCTTGATCCAAGATGCTGCCAACTAAGTGCATGTTATGTAACTCATTTCATCCCGGAAAAGCAGTCATGGGTGTTCACAGCCGCACGGCTTAAAGAAATTTAATTTGCTGCTGAATTTTGTAGATATGTTCTGTTCAAAAATTTGCTGTCTTGTTTCTTTTATTGACATTTGGGTGCTTGAGATTGCTTTGATCCTTGTACTTGAACAATTAATCAATCTACAAGAGAATATATATATAGCCAATAATTCAGTACGTGAACAATCAAAAAATATTAATAGAAAGTACGGAAAGACTAAAAATACGAAAGCAGAAAGACTTTATTGCAAGCATGATGTTCAACAAACTGACTGACCTGACCTGACCTGACCTGATCTGACCTGACCTGACCTTACAGGGACTAACCTGTTTTCACAACAACCTGCAGGATATTTATAAATATTTACAAAAAGGAAAAACAATGATGGGACTCGAAGCCAACTACTACATGCCACTTGATATCCAAGTAGTCCTCATTCGCAGAGGGGCACCTAATGTTCTCCCTATTTGAACACAATAAATAAGTTGTTTCAAGCACCAAGACTGAACAAGACTAAAGCAAAAGGACAAAGCAAGCACACCAAACATTCTGACTTCAAAGATGGAATTGCAAAGAGAGTGCCAAAACAAGCTTTAGATCCATTTCCTGGGAGTTAATGGATCACTGGCTACACCATTGCTGTTGCTTGAACCAACACCAGGACCGCCTGCCAGCACTGCCATCAAAATTCCACCATGCACCCTTCCTTCTGGGGCAGGAAGTGAGATGCCTCCCTCTGCAACTGGGACATTAGCATTTGATACCCCATATTGGTTCCAATCAGCCCAGGTTCTGCCTGCTGAAGCTTCTATGGTACTACTACCCATTTTTGTGATATCAATGTTCATGTCCTCAGCATTGACAACCTCTTTCATCTTCTCAGGATTACCAAGTTTAGGCTGTTGGATCATAGGTCCCAATGTAATACCCCCATGAACCCTCTTATCCTGCACCAGGCCGCTATGGAGTGCGCAGAGACCTGTCTTGCCCCTTGCAAAAGAGTTGCAAGGACCAGTAGGTTGGTTTCCATATTCTGACCCAGGATGGCCCCAAGAGCATCGCTTCCCACCACCATGTGCCTTACAAAAATCTGTGCTACCCTGTGCGCTCTTGTTGCACCCTTCATACTTGCATCTCTTCCCTCCACCATGACGGACACAAAAATCAGTTCGTCCTCTAGCACTCTTTGTACACTCAGGATAAGCACAGCGCTTGCCACCCCCATGTGCCACACAGAAGTTGGTTCCTCCATGCACGCTTTTTGTACAAACTCCACCACCTTGGAATGCACACCTTTTCCCCCCTCCATGGCCCTTACAGAAAGGTGTGCTTCCTTCAGCGCCTTTAGTACACCCAAGAAATGTGCATCGCTTTCCACCTCCGTGTGCCTTGCAGAACATTGTGCTTCCTTGTGCCCCCTTCGTGCATCCTGTATATTGGCATCTACGGCCACCGCCATGTGAGATGCAAAGTCCTGAGAGACCTTCTGCGCTTTTTGTGCAATTTTCTTTCTGGCACCTCTTCCCCCCTCCATGACGGATGCACAGACCCGATTTCCCTCTGGCAGCTCGAGTGCAACCCTCATGACTACATCTCCGCCCGCCACCGTGGCCAATGCAGTAATCAGTGCGACCTTCAGCGCTCTTGGTACAACCGAGGAATTCACATCTCCGACCACCACCATGGGCCTTGCAATACACAGTCCGGCCCTCGGCCCCCTTGTGGCAGCCAGGTTTTTGGCACCTTCTACCACCCCCATGAGAAATACAACGTCCGGATGCACCTCTAGCCCCCTTTCCACATCCTTCAACCTGACATGTCTTGGAACTACATGTCTTGGAACTAGAGCTGCGGTGTTGTGGCTGTAGCTGTCTTGTTTTCCCGGAAGTACAGGTGACTGAGCTTTTTGCCATTCTTATTGCACTTGGAGACAGGTCTGGAACAATAGAAGGAAGATCTTTAGTTCCTGGAACTTCCTTGAAGAAGATGCTAGCCTCGTTGGCTGGTGAAATCTGCAATGGTGGCAGTGCAATCCCTGGTTTACTGCAAAGAGACATTGATCCTTCATATGCATTTGGAATCTCCATTCCACTTTGAACAGGAGAGCTGCTCAGATGGACACTCGTTATATCAGACTCAGAGGACCTAGTGGAGAGACTTAATTCCAGGTCCACCTTTAGTTGCAGTTCTTTCCTTTTCACAAGTGAACTAGCATGTTTCTTAGAGTTAGAAACCTTCTCGTTACCAAGATGGAGAGTAAAGTCCAATTCAATAGCCTCTGAGGACTCCTCATCAGTTTCTTTGGATGAAGACATTGGAGTGCAAGTAGTTGTTGAACTCCCCTTGCTGTCTGAGGAACTTGATGAGTGGCCCAACCCAAGAGATAAAGAGGAGCCAACTTGATCGCCCATGGATCCATCCATCAAACTCCACTTACGTTTGATCCCCTTTGAGGACAACTGAGGAAGAGAAGAACCAGGGGAATCAAGACACAAGACAGTATCCTTGCCATATCCAGCTCCCATTCCTCCAACTTGCATTGAACTTGAAAAAGTCTTGAATGCATTTGCTACATAATTTGCAGTAAAACCCAAGTTCTGAAACCTTGCATCCATGTATCAAGTAATGAACTGGAACACTAATATACAGACCAAATCTCAATTGCAACAGAACAGTACACCTGACTTCCGGGTTTAAGAAACTTAGTCACAAAACAAAGACTATATTTTACGGAGGGAATAAATCCCACCTCCGCTAACAAATCCTGAAGTATCTTTACGGTCCATTTGCGTAGAGTAACTTAACCCAAAGCTAATTTTGTTGAAGGAAGATTAAACAAGCAGACTAGACACCTTTACAACAACATCATGCTGTTCAATCATCCTGTTGCACAAAACAAAATAAGAATGAGATGGGAAGTCAAGAAGAAGAATCAAAATTGTCAAGACAAAAACAGAATAAAAATACAAAATAACAACTGACTAGTGTGCATATTCAATAAACAGAAGATGGAAATGAATCTAATAAAATTAATTTTTGGTTACGTATAAAGCCTAAACTAGGAAAATAAATTGGAAGGACAAAAGGAACTTGTGATCACTTACCACTACACGAGCACAAACAATAATTAAGTAAAAATTAGACAGGAAAATCTTAAACTTTATGGAGCCTATTTCCAATAATTGAAGCTGGAGTGCCTGCCTCACCCCCTTTCTTTAACTTCAGTTAATTACCAAAAAAATGTATCAGCACTTAGAAGGCAACAAGAAACAAGGTGACGAATTAACCCATAATAAATAATGAAAAATGTATTACATAAGGTTTATAAATATTAAAAAAAAACAAAGAGCAACACTTTATTTCATTTCTGAAACAGAGTGATACAGATAACAAAAGTAAAGAACTTGTTTCCATTCCATAAAAAATAAAAGTTTTCATAGCAGATCAGCACATAATTCGAGTTCCATCTGAGCTCAAGCAATTAAGATTCAACTATATAATAGCAACACGAGATAAAGCAAGAGTCTAATTGTTCAAAATTAGAGTAATACATACATAAATCAACTTACAAAGAGCTACTTTTGTTATCCTGCCTTAATCCAAATCAAAATCGTTAAATCTGAGTACGAACAGCTTCCCTGTAGAAGAACAAAACAAAGAAAATAAACCCCTTATAAACAAATTATAATTGATGTAATTAATTAAATAAAATAAAATAATGTAAAGGTAAAGATTAAGATTTCATACAATTCAAACAAAGAAAAAAACAGCTAAAATTTTTCTATTTCACTCAAAGCTCAAACACACACAAAACTTCAATCTTTACCGTTTGGATGCTGAGAAATCAGTAAGAAAGGAAGAGAAAGCAAAAGAAGAGTACCGATATTTTTCAGAAAAACGAGAGGTTCAAGAAAGATGAATGCTTCAGCTCGAGGAATTCCTATTTATCCTCAGGTCTCGGCAATTAAAAATTGAAAAAAATTATTTAAAAAAAAGGGTCAGATAAATTTTGTAGCTTTTGCCAATCAAATTCATCAAGGGTATGACGACAGCGACTTTGAACCCGGACGGAATCGGGGAGAGATTAAGAAATTTGACGCGGGAAAGGGGAGGGAGGGAGAAATTAAGGAGACAGAGAGGGATTGGTAAGACAAGAATTACCTGGGAATTGGATTGAAGTAATCGGAGAAAAGCATACGGCTGAGGTGATGGAGGGGTTTGAGCGCCGGCGGCGAGTGGAAAGGGAAGGGAGAATCGGAGGCAGAAATTTGAGGGTGTGTGGGGGTAGAGACGGCTGGTAAAAGAAGAGGTGGTGATATTGTCGATTTTAGGAAGGTGAAGGCACGTGTCCACGAGAAAGGTGCACGTGCTTGGTTTAGGGTTTCGAGATAATTAATTCATCATTATCTGTCACAAAGATATTTCCACCCTTTTCTCTCTCTCTGCCATTTGTGTTTTACGTGTTTGAAAGCCTCACCTAACAAAAAAATATATATATATATTTAACACAAATTGTATTTATTATATATTTTTATTAATATATATAAAATAAAAATTAATTTTAAATTTATTAACTATTTAATTAAAATATTTTGTGTAATATTAATATTTAAAATAATAAAAAATTATAAAAATTATAAAAATATTTGCATA